CCAATATCAAAAGTCAAGGAACCAAGTACCATGAAGATCAACAACAACATAGGATAAAAGCTTCCACAATACAGGATAATTGTTGAACTGCCGAAATAAATGGCCATCACAAGGTGAGAAGTCCGGAACAAAATAGAGAGAACACATAGTCACAGACAATATCAAGTCACCATCAGAACATAATCACCAACAAAACATAGTCACAATCGGTACCTGTAAAAATATTCCCTCCCTTCTCACAGGTCAAGACTAGGTCTAGGTAAGGTCAATGGTAACTCAGAATCCTAGGTTTGCTTGATAATACTATCATCGTTCACCTACATGATAATGATAACACCTTATTAAAACCTCATCTGAGCATGGACGACATAGCCGCATAGGAAGATCTACATCCCCTATCCGTCATGTTCCACTATATTCCTAGTGTTCCTATGGTTTGTCACTTGGCCTGAGTATTTGGCCTTTTACCTCAAAGTAACACCCACTCATCAAGAAACAACAGCAGATCTAACACAACAAAACCAGTATATGGAAAGCGATAAAATGCAATGCATGCACTCATATACAAACAAACACATATACAAAGCTGGAAAAATAGATAAAACAAAAAACGCAAAGATAAAGCACACAAGAGCTAGGACAAACTCGCGGGGATGGACCAGCAAGTGGTCAATTTGTCCCTAGTGAAGTCGCCAGCTGAAACAATCGGCTGAAATCATCGGAAATCAATGAAGTCGCCATTGAACTTTTTTTATCCCGCGGAGGGGAAAGGTGAACATCGAGTAAATCTGAGGGGGTGAAATCACGATCAAACGACCGAGAGATACAGGTAAGGGAGTCGATTATGCATGGGGAAGGTATTAGCACCCCTCAAGTCTGTGGTACTCCATGGGATCCACTATTGTTTGCTAATCTAAAGTGTGTGTCAAATCTAAGTCTACAGTTTAAAGCGAAAATCATGCATGCAAAGAAAACACGGGGAAAAGAAGGAAGATTTTACAAAGTTTCGATCGGATGAGCCCCATGACCAAATGCCTACGTATCCCTTTCAAGGAATCAGAGTGACGTAGTTCGGCTCAATAGTTTCTACTTATTTGTGTTTTTTAATTGAATAATGTTAAGTTTCACATTCTAACTTTATCTCGACCTTTGGAGACTCACGCATCTGGAGTAGAAAGGAACTAACACGCTCTACCTAACAAGGTATTCTCAAAAGGAAAATGCCCGAAGGCAGATAATGCTATAGTCGTAACTCCAGCAAGTAGACATGGTGCAACCCAACCTTTAAAGAATTATGCGTTGTATTACGTGAAGCAGAATTAACGCATCCTTTTGAAAGTTCGATAAAAATACCGAAGGCGAAAAATATTTTGAATTGGTTGATATTTTTTACCTTGAAAAAAGGATTTGCGATTTAACTGTAATAAAGCTCGGACATGGAATTAAGCAAGTATCAGTCTAAACCAATTCGCTTTACCCCATAGGACTCAAATGCATACAATTCACATCTTCCATTATTAAGTGTTTTATGAGTTCAAAAAAAAGAAAGGTTTTAGTTTTGATGCAAGCATGCAATAAGGGGAGAAAAATCTAAGGGGAACTATCTCGTTTTATCCCTAATGTTGTGATACAATGATGGTCCTAGAGTTGGGATTAAAAAAAGGAAAACATCTACGTAGTGTTAAAATGCATGGATAAACATCCTAGGGTCTACTTAGTTCGGTCTTAACCAAGAAAGAACTAAGAATCTTGTGGGGAACATGTGATCAAACAATATAGAGAAACACATAGCAATCAAGAACTTAACCAAGCCAAAAATGCAAGTACACAATGCTTGAGGAATATCCATTCACTCAAGTAGCACACGCCTAGCCAAGACATCATGTCGTCATGGTAGGATAAGGGAGAGGGAAAAACACCTAGTCATGATATCAAGTCACCAAGGCTAGATAGGAGAATAGGACACCTAACCAGGATATCGCATCATCAAGGTAGGATGGGGGAAAGTTCCTGACCATAAATATCTTTTCATCTTGGAAAGAAGTGGTCATGAAAGTAAATCTTAACCAAGGTATCGTATCATCGAGGCAATAAATAAAGAAATGTGGATCGACTCTTAACCAAGATATCAAATAATCGAGGCAAGAGAAGAATAAAAAGTGAATCGTTATAAAACACTAAACACATAACCAAGATATCAAGGATCGAGGTAGGAGATAGAAGACAATAATGAGATCACTAAAAAGCATCAAGCGTTAACCAACATGAGCTCCAGAAAAAGTATGGGGGATTGGTTACAGATCCATGTATTCTACTTGACTGACTCGATACAAGAGCAGCACATTCGATAGCATCGACGTACAACATGAGCTACGAATAACTTGGGGACTAGAAATGGCGGGGTCGATTGCGGACCCTATGTTCACCTTATGCATGCTTTTGAGGACTTATCAATATAGAAAGGGAATGAGACGCCTTCATCGAGGTATTTGGCACAAATATAAACATTCTGAATTATAAACAAACAAGCTCACATATGAATTTCCTTTTTAAAGATCTTTTAAAACAGCATTGCCCACCTAAAGTATGGACTAGTCATGCATCTCTATTCCTATTTCTCATGGCATCCGAAAAGCGGTAAATAATGTAAGATAAAATAGGAACAAGGAAATACTAAACGGATATTAATCTGTATATGCTAAACAACAGCAAAAGAAACCCAAGAACTTCGCAAGCAACTAGCATCAACAATAAAACCATGTCAGAAATCTGACGTGCGGAATATGCATCAAAGCACCGATGTGAAAATAAATCACAATACGGAACATGTATCAAACACATCCGACTATCAATCAGTACACCCGCACAAGATATCGATCCAGACAAGCAATAACAAAATAACATGAAATATGCATCAGACACATCTGAATACCAAACAGTACACCTGCATAAGATGTCAACCCAGACAAGTAATAACAATGTACAATGATATGTACATATAATATGGAGTGTGTATCGAACACATCTGAATATTAAACAGTACACCTGCACAAGATATCAATCTAGACAAGTGATAATAAAATACGGAATGTGTGTCGAACACATCCGAATACTAAATAATATACATGCACAAAATAACAATCCAGACAAGTGATAAAAAAATATATCATCTCATAGAATTAGAACCAAAGCCAAGCGTATTGGACGCAAGCTCAAACCACAAATAAGTAACATAAACTTCCTTTCAATCGAATAATCAAGCGATAATTAAAGGATTGAAAGCCATTTCAAAGTACCTTGTACAAGTCAACAAACACATTAGAAATAATAAAGAAGCATAATCGGAATCAAGCACTTACATCACATTACAATTTACCAATTAAACATGAAAAAAGTGAAACCAAATAAGTAACGGAAAGTCAAAACTAAAATCCGGGAAGCAAGTAAATCAACTCATGAGTCGTGCAAAATGTCGGCTTTAAAACATAAAAACTCAATGCATATGGCATATATATTAATACAAGTGCAATAATGCATGAACCAATAATTAAACGCATCTCAAGTGCAAATTAGAAAACCCGGAAAGCAACTTTGTCATCTCATGAACCGGAAAATAAGTCGATCTAAAAGTGAGCAAACTCAACAATAATGTTCCATAATCGAACAATTAAGCATAACCATGCATTAAATGAGAATTAAATCACAACATACATGTTAGGAGAAAAATCAGACAACATTGTTTTCATTTTTCAAGTGCACAAAAAGTCATTCTAAAACTCAACCGAAACGGTACCAATGCTCTTCAATCATGCCAACAAGCTCAAATATGCAACATGTATGAGTTAAAGCAACGTGTACAAGTGTTTACCATCGCGGGACAGCCATGACATAACACGCAAAATCTCAAGAAAAGTTGAATTAAAATGAACTGAACTCGGTACCGGTATCAACTAATTGATTAACTAAACTCACTAATATATTATTCAAGAATTAAACTCAAGTGCACATGAAAAAATGATATTCCGGACAGACACACGTATATACATGAAATAAACTAGAAAATGGTGTCAATACCATAAAAATTCATCAACAATGGCCATGAAACAAATAAGTATGCACATGTAATCAACAAATGAAAACAAAATCAATATATACATTATAAAGAAAATTCTGGACAGCAATTTTACACATAACGAAATGCATAAAATACGAGAATAAAATCAATCAAAAATGCTACCGGTGGCATTCAAATACCAACACAAAGTGCCAATGCATCGAGAAAAATGAAAATGTAATTTGGAGCACATGTATACTCTCCGGGAAGCATTATTCATGAGTCGATTAATGTTCAAAATTTGGTTTTCAAAATGAGTGTGAATTGTGGCCTAAAAGCTTCAAATATTCATCAAGAATTTAATCCGTATTAGAACCATACTTTTTCGATCACAAACGGTAAAATTCAAGTGTTAACACAATTCTTGAATCAAAAATTTAATGTCGAAAAATTGAATTACCATTCAATTCGACTCAAGAATTATGTCAACTCATGAATTTGACATTATTCCACAACAAAGTTTCCACAAATTGAACAATCTGTAATAATTCGACATCAATAAAGTGTATCAAAATCAACATCCACGAGGTTCTCATGACTTTGTCAAAACTCAACCAATTCCAGATTTCGATATAAACATAATTAAAGAATTAAACAACTCAAGAACTCAACAATTTCAACTCATGTAACATCACAAATTAAACTCAAACCAACAACACAAATTCACTTGAATTCAATAATATCACTCAATTTCAAATCAAATCTCATTTTAACAATTCAAGATTTACTATCTCAATCCAGTTTACATCATGTAATTATATCTCAAGCATTTAATCAAATACCTAAGCTACAAACAAGTATTCAATTCAAGTTTGATCTCAATTCACATAATCAATTATGTAATAAGTAATTAAGTACAAGATATCATGTAAAATTATCGAATAAAATGCGAATCAGAGAAGATGTTGCCAGAAAATTAACACACAAACGGAGGGGGACTCAGATGTGGCCGGAATCAGCGGAAATGAAGGGAGGCGACGCAGTTCGTCGGAAAATCGTAAAGAGGAGGCGGGGGGAATTTCCATGGTGGCCGAAGGCGGCTAGGCGGTGGCTTCGGTCACTGTCAGTTGATCGGAGGAATATTTGCAACTTTGTGACTTTTTGTTTTTGAGGTTGTCGATGAACTTGATGAATGTTGTTGAATATTCTTGAGAGAATTGAGAGAGAAATTTGTTTTATCTTTTAGAATGTGAGAAAAATGAGTAGAAAGTGTTTGTGAAAATGAGCAAAAAAATAATATATAGTGTGTCAATTTGGGTCTAATTTGACTTGAATTGAATTTGGGCCTTAATTGATTTCTCAGTGTCAAAATAAGGACGATCCACAAAGATATCAATATTCGTGCAAAATTCGAAATTAGGCTCAACAACAAAATCAAAGATTACAAAACTTGTGACATTTTTCAGGAAGAATGGACTCAATTAGATAAACAACGAGAAATTTTTATTAATTTTCGAAGGTGCGCAGACGTAGAGCCAATTTAACTAATACAAATTTTTTCTATGCGCGACTCATGCTACAAGTCCCAAACCGAAGCCATCCGAGTAAAATCTGAACTCGCGCCCTGAAGCAAAATTGAAGTTAATAAAATTCCTGAGATTCATCCGCAAGAACCGTTCTGATACGGTAAAAAGTGGGACAATTATGATTTTTAGAATGCCACAGAAACAAGTTCATCGACACTCTTTTTTCACTGTAAAAGTCTCTGGTAATTTTTACTTTCGAAGACCCTCTGGATATATTTGGCTTCCGACCTGAACATACAAAATATAGGGGACGTCAAGACGGATATTTCACTCAAAGAACGACTCTTAAATGTGGAACCGGATGTAAGTTATGAACTTTTGAATGTCTGAAAAACAAACGGTTAAACACACTTTTCCTCTGTATTTTCCACTGTACATCTTCAACGTCTTCGCACATTCGGAGATCTTCTTCAAAGAATTAGCTCTTGGCCTGAACACGAAAATTGGAGAAGACATCGAGACAGATTTTATGGATGAAGAACCATTCAAAAATGTTAAGCTACACGGAACTTACGAATTTTCGAACATTTGAGCGGACATTAACCAACACAACCCAAAACTCTGGTTATTTAAACTTCCAGCGGTCTTCCTCACAAAATTAGCCTTCGGTCTAAACAGACAACCAATAAAGAAAGTCGAGACTGTTCTAATGTTCAAAAAACCACTGAAAAATCTTCTTCCGACCGGAAGTTATAAATTTCTAAAATCCACCGTAACAAACAGACTTTTAATTCGAATTATTCCTGGCTGAGCAAAACACTTGATTTTCTCTTTTGTTCAAGGCATGTTAGAACACACGAGACCTTGACATGATGATGCCTTGATTACATATTGATTGAATAGTCTGGAGAAGACTCTGATCCCATAACCACAGAACCAATGTTATGTTTGTATGCATATGATAATGAACTATAAGCCAAATAGGTTAAAATGAAGAGGGGAAATTTTGAGATATAACACATACCCGTTTTTGTCTCTTTGAGAGAATCATTATGGTTGCAGCGAATTTGGTTGGAAGAAAAGAAAGAATGTGACAAAGAATTGAGTCCGAAAAATCGCTAATTCTATCCAGTGTTGGATTTGAACTGTCAGAAGACATTTTAAAAATGATTTGTCACAGCAAAAATGTCCTCAACAAAATTGTAATATGATTAATTGATACCGCGACAACTACAATCACTGTAACAACACCTACACCTCTACAGATTAAAATTGTGAAAGTGTTTACGCTACCATGTTTGTTTTTTAACATCTTGATCATCTCTAGATGTCAATGAGGCAAGCTAACAAAGAAGGGTAGAGTTTTTTTTGTTGTTGTTGTAGTTCGTATCAGATCAAAAAAAGATAATTAGGGTTTGGGCTAGAACTCATTTTAATAGCAAGCAGCGTTGATATTGATCGAACGCAGTGTTAAAATTACTATTCTATCTTTTTCTTTTCCCTTGGCATGGAAGGTTTGTTTTGAATTTTTCAATTACTACATGAGATTAGTCATTACATATTATTATTAATTAGAGTGGAAAATTTTACTCGTGAATCATTCATAGATCTAACGGTTATTATTAACTCGCATTGTAAAATATTTTATCAATTAAGTTTTTACTACATTAAGTTAAGAGATTAATTGGAATACACATTTTATACTTTTATTCAAGTAGAATGAATCATTTTGACACATGAAAATAGAGAGAAGGATAGAAGAAGTAATTATTAAAATTATTTAATTATAATTTTTTTTAATTTCATATTTATGTATCAAAGTTATTCATTTTAATTGAATGGCTATGTAAAATGGCTCACAGTGTATTCCAATTAATTTCATTAATTAATTTAATAAAATAATAAATTTTATTATACTAATTAATTTAATAATATTATTTATAAACAACTTTAATAATATTTGTTTACCATTAATCAATTAATTATTTATTTAATTTATATTTTCTAAATAAATATACGAGTAATTATAATTTATTGATTTAAATTTATTATAAAAACATAAAGGAATAAATATTTGTAACAAAGTAAAAAACTATAGTTAATATTAGTACAATTATAATATACTAACTCTAATTTATTTATTTATTTGAGTTATACAACGTTTTAATTTCTTCGTAGTAACTATGAACTCCATCACAAATGGATCTAAAATAATCATGAGTGTTATTTTAATTTATAAAAATTTACATGTTCTCCAAAAAAAAAAAAAACCGTTGTGACTTGCAATCCATACACAAAGTAAATATATGTTTGTCATTTATCAATTTGAAGAGTTGAAAGAGAAATATAAATTTTTTTTACGTTAACACAATTGATCTTAGTTGTTGATCAGAACAGGTGAATGACCAGTGATACGGGTGTAGTCTTAAACGATCAGTAAAAGAAGGTTATATATGCAGGCATTTTGATGCTTAAGTCAAATCGGGTGAAGAGGGAAGTGAAACAGGGTTAGAAAATAGAATAGATGACCCTCTTGTAGAGGAATGTATTTATAGTGAGTCCCCAGCGTTTGGCCAATAGTCTCCCTTATGGGCCGAAGGTGCAGTCCCACAACAGATGACTGTCAAAATTCCCACGTGAAAGTAGAGATGAGTAGTTCGTGCTCATCAACTTGGGTCAACCACTCCACCTTTCCCGGATATTGGATGACCATGTCCTTTATGAAGGGCACAACGGTTCCGTCAATCACGCGAAGCGCACAGGTTAGGTTGATGACATGTCCTCGGGTGGGGAGCATGTGGGGAACGTTTTCTCCACTGGCCCCAACGGATTGGGTCAGCACTTTAGGCCGTCCTCGACACAAACATGTATTGGGCCGTGCTCGATGTTGGGCCAGCCACAAGCCCAGTCCAAAACAGGAGCACCTCAAGTCGTTGCTCCTAGGCCGAGGAGCAATGACTTAGAGTCAGTTCGTGTGTCGATGAGGAGTGAAGGACTCCGCGCGACGCGAGCCTTCATTTGGTCTCGCGATTGCGAAATTGCACTGCCGTAGACGGTGATTGCCGTAGACGGTGCTTGTTTGTTCGTTTGCTCACACGGGGATGATATTTTGCTCGTAACTTGTTGGATTTCACTTACGAGGAAAATGCATTGCGCGGTGGTCGAGAGTTTAGCTTGCGCTCGGGTTGAGTGTTTGGCTTGCTCGCGATTTTTCACGCTGTTTGTAGATTTGCTTCAAGTTTTTCTCCAAGGCCATGCTCGTGAGGGAATGGAAAAGTTTGTCGTTTGTGTTCGACAAGCGGTGCTCGGCGTCTTGGAATCCGAAAGGTTGATGGGACTTGAAAGGATAAATGTTTTGTCCCCTCGAGCCACGCATCATAGCTATTAAATGTGTAATGATGGCTCATGAATAAGGGTAATTATGATCCGAAACGGTGACATATTTCCCTAAGCGGTGACACGCTTGTCCATGCCGTGAAGAGAGTTTATACATAGGAAGAATGAATGCACATTTGCAAAGTTTCCTCTCTTCTTCCCTCTACTTTCCTCTGCGTTTTAGAGCTTCATCGTTGTTGCTGTTGTTATAAAATCGTCGTCAACTTTCCTTTCTTCCTCAAATCATGTAAGTCTGTTTTGATTTAGCCTTTTTACGGTTTATTTTTTATTTTTTACCGTGTTATTCATTTTGGCGCCGCCGTTACAAAGGTGAATAAAAATTACGCTGGTTAAATTCATGAGTTTTAGGTGGAGGAGGGCTTGTTCGCACTCCTCTGTCCATTCGAATGTTGTCTCCTTGTGAAGAAGTTTGAAAAGGGGAAGTGCATGTTTGGCAGACTTTGCTATGAAGCGAGATAACAATGTGAGCATCTCGTTTAGGGATTGATTTGATTTCTTCGAGTTTGGTGTTGGGAATTCGGAGAAGGCCTTACATTTGTTGGGTTTCGCTTTGATCCCTTGTATTGTTAGATAGAATCCGAGGAACTTACCTGCTTGAACGCCGAAGGAGCATTTCTCTGGATTGAGCCTCATCTTGCATCTCATCGCCTGGTCGAAGACTCTCTTCAGGTGGAATGTACGGTTGGATTCCTCTTGGTATTTTATGATCATGTCGTCCATGTAGACTTTGAGCATGTCTCTAATTTCACCTCGGAAGACTTTGTTCATCATTCGCTGGTATGTAGCACAAGAGTTTTTCAAGCCAAAAGGCATCACATTATAGTAGTAGTTTTCCGACTCGGTCATAAAGGCCATGTATTTTTGTCACCCTTTGCCTTGGGAATCTGGTTGTACCCTGAGTACGCATCCATAAAAGACAATAATTTGAATCTAGCATAATTATCAACTAGTCTATCTATGTTAGGAAAATGGTAAGCATCTTTAGGGAAAGCCCTATTGAGATCGGTATAATCAATGCATGTTCTCCATTTTCCATTGTATTTTTTACAAGTACAACATTTGAAAGATATGTTGTGGACTGGGCCTCTGGAATAAAATTTACCTCTAGGAGGTCTTTTACAACATTTTCAGCAGCCTCCGCTTTCTCAGGATACTGCCTACGCCTACGTTACACTATAGCCCTAGCGGAGGGGTCTATGGTCAGCTAGTGGCAAGCCACTTTAGAGTCCACTCCGGACATCTCAGCGGC